AATAATAATAATAATAATAATAATAATAATAATAATAATAATAATAATACTCTCCCTAATTCACCCCCTTACGAGTAAATTTCAACCCCTGAAGTCGACTGAACGACTTGTGTAGGGGAAGGGACATCACTACCGGGAGCCTTATTAGTTTTTAATGAATTGATTAATTGAAGTATTTCTGTTTCAGAGACTGGCTTTAGGGAAATCGAATTTTTATTAATTCGCTCTTTGAACGAAAATGCGGAGATTTTTGAATTTGTTTAGCAAGATTAGGTCCAATGTTTGTAAAAAATGTATAATATCTCGGCGATTTTTAATTTGTTTTTAGATTTAGTATTATTTAGCGATGTTATTTTCTTTAACATTCGAATGTTTGGGATTAGAATTTGTTATGTTGTTTATAGTTTTCCATAAGTTTTTTGAGTTAAATTTATTTTTTTCAATTTGATATTTTAGTTTTGTTACGCTAATCAAATAGTAGAGGTAGGGGCACTTTAGCCCGCCCAGACAGACACAGGCGCAGCCGACATCCGATCCAGACTCAGTGCGTCATGCGCACTAGGGTGCGCATGCGTACTAGGTTGTTATTTTAATTTTAAATAAGTCTAGAGTTTGGAGGGTTTTAGGTTAGAGGCGTTAAAGTTTAAGGCTGAGTATTAAAATGTTTTAAGGCTTGAAAGTTTGCAACTCAGCTAAATATTATTACCGGTAATACAGATACCGATAAGTTTCAAAATAAAATAGACTTCTGAAAAGTTACTTCGGTAACCGCTAAATAAGTCTAGAGTATGGAGGGTTTTAGGTTAGAGGCGTTAAAGTTTAAGGCTGAGTATTAAAATGTTTTAAGGCTTGAAAGTTTGCAACTCAGATAATTATTATTACCGGTAATACAGATACCGATAAGTTTTAAAACAAAATAGACTTCTGAAAAGTTACTTCGGTAACCGCTCAAAAAATATATCAGATATTAAAGATTTATTTATTTAAAAATCGAACTAACATGTCTATTAGATGTCTAGGAGTTAAAATGTTAAAAATATTCGGTCATCTACTCCAGATTACCTGGTCCTTCGGCCTGTCTTTTGGACAAATCTTTCATGTTGAATGGTGAATATATTTCTTTGTTTTAAAAATTAATAATGATGATATATTTATATATTAAAAAAAAAGGATTCTCACACACCAAGATTAAGATTTATTCAATAGATAGGGGTTTCTATTTTTAAAGAACAGCTATGTCAGAACTAAATATTAGTATGTTGTTTGATTTCACGTTTGGAATTGGTGATTGTATCTCCATACAAAAAAAATCTATATGGGGATTAGTGGTTAAACACTACCGAGAATATCCATTTTAAATGTTTGAGAATTTATTGACCACCTTAGTAGTTTTATTATTAGAACGTTTAAGACCCAACCACAGCCTGTTACGTTACATATCTATATTGTTTCAATTAAGTCATCTAATCTTTATTATATACAATCAGGCCGGTCTACAACAACACTAGTAGGTAGAGACATATGTTTTTTAATTTAAAAAATTATAATGTCCTAACACCCACTTTCACCTGTGTCACTTTTAAAAATATTAATATATATACATATTTAAATTTTAAGATTTTTTCGAATCATTTTACTAACAGGGTTATCTATTTGAATTACACCTCACTATTACACAACACCACTTTAGGAGGAGGAGTACTTAGCAATGAATATTTATAAATCAGAAAAATCTAAATTATGTAATTTTTTTTAAATAAACGATTGTTTTAACTGAAAATAAATTACTCGCAGACGATACATGACTGTCACATTTTACAAAAGTACTTACAGCCAATCCTAAATAAACTATAATTTTTAAAACTCATCATAACTATTCCAAGAATAAAAGAACACCGTGATCTACCAGATATAGTGAAACATCGCATATTTCCCTGAATACCAACAACGCCGACACCTACATATCTGTACCATATAACATTCAATATACCTATTGGTGTGAAGTTAATTAATGCCTACTTAAAAATTTAAAAATAAAATACATTTAAAAAGTTACTTTGGTAAGCGCTCCAAAAATAAATAACGTTGTAACGTTGTACCCCAATATGTCGTTAATACATAATGATGATAAAATAAGCAAAGGTTGTATTTTGTGGATATTATGGTGGACAGTATGGTTCAGTATAATGGACAGTATACTTCAGTCTAGTGGACAGTTTGGTTCAATATAGTGGATAGTATGGTTTAGTATAGTTCAGTCTTGTGGACAGTCACATTAAGATCTATTCAATAGGTAGGGGATCTCTACACTATATTAGATATTAAAACAGTTGTTAAAATTCTGATAATGTCGGGACTTTTCAATCCAAATTGTAAATAAAAATTAATCATAATATACAACAAAGTTACAACAAAATTATATAATACCATAATAATATAATTTGTTAAGAATTTGTAATTAATTACCATATAGATTAATCAAAAATATTTGTAGAAATTTAACATCATAAGTAACATATATTATAAAATTATATTTAAATAGAATTTTAAATATACTTATGTAAAAAGCAATACATATTTATAAAAAATATTTAGGTCTTTGTTACTATTGGTTAAGTAAAATTGTTTATTAAAAAACAAAAATACTTTTAACAACAAGCACCAACGTGAAGGTTGTAACAATAGCTTGACAGGATAGAATGGGTAAAAAGGATCTTTTTTTTTTGGTAAAATATAGAAACTTTTGGCATATGCGCTAATAATGTTTAAACCTAAAATCTTAAATTATTGAATTTTTTTATTGATTAATTTAAACAAGATCAAACGACACTTAATTTGATAAAATATGGCCTTCTATGTAATTATCGTAGTTGTTGTTATTTGATAAGAGCTAATAAATCGTATGATCTTAAACTTGAACACTAATAATAAAAATATAGGATTATTACCGTATAAATTTATTGCAAGGTCAGATATTTCTATCACCATAATCACGAATTTTAAAGGTTTTATTTTAATCTTCCACATACCTATTTCGAGTTAATCAATATTGTTTTCATAACGATTTATTATTCGATATCAAGTTTATACATTTTCGCTTTCGCCAGGATAGATAGGGAGAACCATAATAATATAATCTTATAAACTAAAAAAATATTTTTTACAGGATTTTAGTTGACAACAATAACTTTACGTTCTGTCACGATAAATTGCCTCTTTTATTTTAATGTTGTTATTTTGTCTCTTTTATATTTGCCCCTTTTAGGTTAAGTTACCCATGGGTCTTTTTTTGTCAATGGGTCTTTTGATATTTTTTAAATTGTAATTTTCGTATATGGGTCTTTTTTGTATTGTTTTGCCTCTTTTATATTGTTTTTTTATTAATATTTTTTATATTTGCCTCTTTTAAATTTAGTTAAACATGTGTCTTTTGATATTTTTAAATCGTAATTTTCGTATATGGGTCTTTTTTTGTATTTTTTGCCTCTTTTATATTGTTTTTTTATTAATATTTTTTATATTTCCCTCTTTTAAATTAAGTTAAACATGGGTCTTTTTTATTTGGATCTTTTGATATTTTTGGTTTTTTAAATCCTAATTTTCATTTATGGGTCTTATTTTGTTTTGTTCATTTTTTTTTGTTTTTTGTTTTTTGTTTTTTTTTTGTTTTTTTTTGTTTTTTTTGTTTTTTTTTTTGTTTTTTTTGTTTTTTTTGTTTTTTTTGTTTTTTTTTTTTTGTTTTTTTTGTTTTTTTTTGTTTTTATATTTGTCTATTGTTTAGTTAACTATTGCCTCTTTAACATCTCTCTATAGTTTACATAATTACTTACTTTTTGACTTTAAGGATAGGAATCGAAGGAGGAAAATAACTTTAAAAGACTTAGTTTTTAATTATTCAGCAACTGATTCATTTTTTTTTGTGTTTTTGTACTTTAGAGCCTCGTGACGCATTCTATGGTGGTAGAACTTGACGCAACGAAATTGTATCACATATGTGCAAAAGAAGAGAAAATAAAATACGTAAATGTATGTTCTTTTTATCCTTGGGTGAACAAGTACGGAAAATATCCTATTGGACATCCACAGGTTTTTGTTGGAGACAAGTGCAGAATACTAGATTTATACAAAACTGACAGATTATTTAAATGTAAAATTTTACCACCGCAGAACCTTTATCACGCAGTATTGCCTATTAAGGTGGTTTACTCGTAAAACGGCTTTTCTTAAGAATTCAATAAAATTTAAATATAAGGTTTAAGAAAGTGTCGTTTACGTAACAAAAAAAAATTAGATTTTTTGACCGTCTGTGAAACGAGATATTAACAATCAAAATGTGCATAATTAACACTCTTGAAGCCTATCATGTACACCAGCAATGCATTTACTTCAAGATATCTTGAAAACGATTCTCAACATATTTTTTTAAAAACTAATGTTAAATAAATCAAGAAGTTATCAAATTTTATAAATAATCGCTGAATTTTTTGACCGTCTTACTAAAAAGATATAGATTTTTAAAATAAAATTATTTTTAAAGCAGTTGAAGAGTAGTTTCGTAAAATTATTACAACTTGGCAACATTGTAGCCACTTCACGTATCAAAGTAACACTCGATCAGCTAAGAGGTTGTTATAAACTCGCGACGTGTTCTTGAAAAAATAATTCGTCCACTGTGTTTGAGAACTGAAATCAGCGGTTCTGTTTGAACCAAAACAAACCCTTAAAATTAGTATGAGGAAGTCACAAATTTCTATACCATATCGTTTAAATATTTGCAAGTTTGCCGGATGAAATTGATTAAAATTATAACTTGTCTATATGTGTTTATATACATGTGTTTTGTACAGTCTCTTACAAAAATAAAATTTATTAGCATTGAGAATCTCGAACTTTTGGTATTCACCATTACGCGATATTTTTATGTACGACTGTCGCGAGTGAACTACCTTAAACCAAACAATAAACTGATGTTTCCACTTTGTCGTACATGTTGTGAAAATATGTCAAACGAATGTGTTCATAATCATGAAGAAAGGGCTATATCAGGTACTTGGGTGATAGATGAAATTTTAAAAGCTTTAGAAAAAGGTTACAAAATGATTGAAATATACGAAATTTGGAAGTATGAAACTGTCCAGTACGACCACAATACTAAAACAGGTGGTTTATTTCCAGAATATATTTCCAATTTTTTAAAAATTAAACAACAGGCCTCGGGGTGGCCTGCGGATTGTAAGTCTATTGTGGAGAAAGAAAAATATATCACAGAGTATTTTGACAAGGAAGGAGTTTCTTTATGTGCTGACGAAATTGAATATAACCCAGGTCGTAGACAGATAGGAAAAAACCCTCTAAACTCTAGACTTATTTAAAATTAAAATATCCCATATCCAAACCTAATAATTGTTGAAATTATTACAACCTAGCACGCATGTGCACCCTAGTGCGCATGACGCACTGAGTCTGGATCGGATGTCGGCTGTGCCTGTGTCTGTCTGGGCGGGCTCAACTAGTCAAATATAAAGGAATACCGCAAATGCAAATAAGGTCGGTCACTGCTTGAAATACTCAAAAAAATTGGTGTACAAAACAAATTGTTAGCGGGAAGTCAACTAGCTAAAAACATCAACAAGTCAACTTCTTTGATTTACCGCCCATAGACGGAGATATATTATTTTACTTAAAATGTTATTCGTATATTATTCATCATTAAGTCAAAAAAATACTTGATTTCAATTTTTTTTCCGCATTGAATAATTATTTTTTATTTCACTTATTAATTAATATAATTGGAACAATCTCTTGGGGCTGAGACAGGCCAAGATACTTCTGGGTGAATATAACCAAAAAAGATCGGAAGCCTGCATCTGCCTGAGCAAGAACAGGCTACGTATTGTAACAGGTATCCTTACCGGGCACTGCCGACTAAAAGGACACCTAAGTAAACTGAGAGTAGTAGAGGATAGTGAGTGCAGATTCTGTGAGGAGGAGGACGAAACCTCCATTCACATCCTAACTGAATGTGTAGCACTCCAGAATCCAAGGGCACTATATCTAGGAGGATATCAAATAGAAGAGGGAGACTTACCTAACTTGAAGCCACTTCAAATCCTACACTTCCTTGAGAAAATAGGATTGGAAGGGTCGCTATAGGCATTGAGACATTTCCTTAGTGCAGTGGCGACATAAGGGGGCACAATAGATCTTTTAGGTCGCAGTGTATTAACACCCCATTATAAACATAACATAACATAATATAATTAATCCTAGAAATTGAAATGTTTGTTGAATATGTTTTTTTTTACAATTAGCCTATCCGACATTTGTTCTTAGTAAGTATTTAATAAAAATGTTCTTCTAATTTGTCTTACAAAGTAACATTTTTGTAATCTAATGTGTCCAAATAATCCATACCTACTTTAAGTAACTAGTTATATAAATTAAACTGGTTGTCATAATTATGTACATTATTGAAAAAGAAAATAAATTTATAAATAAACATGTTTGGTATTTAAATTAATATATGTATAGGTACCTCTATTGCTTTTGCAAGTATTCAGGGTCATTCTATATATACACTTGATTTATGGCTTAACTATGAATTGTACGATAGTTTGACATATAAAAGTTTTTGTAATTTTGTGTACTATTTATTGACGTTTACAGATTTCCCGCATACGTAATGGTTTTCAAGATATGACGTCATCGGGCAATATTTAAAATAAGTCTAGGACCTACTTAATGTACCATTGATAAAATCAGACAGATCATACGAACTCGAAAAAAAATATAAATAGAAGGTGATCCATTTAAAATATTGCCCGATGACGTCATATCTTGAAAATCATTACGTATGCGGGAAATCTGTCAACATCAATAAATAGTACATAAAATGTATAAAAACTTTTATCTAAGTTAAATTTTCGTACAAGTCATAGTTAAGCCACAAATCAAGTGTTCCGCCCATATGGAATGACCCGGTATATAGAAAGAAAGAAGATTGGTTATATAAAAATACATTTGGACAATGTGCTAAGGTACAATTAGAAATAATTCTGGTTCATTCCCTATTTTAAAAAGTCATCCTAAACCTGAACAAAATAATCGAAACACTGTTTCACTCAATACACGAGAAAAAAATTAAAATATCCCTAACTTTGTACTATGCAAAATAACCCATTTTCTTGACAAGAAAAAAGAAAACTGTTTTAAATATTTTAAAAGTATCAGATTGGTGTGAAGTTGACTATTATTTCCAAATATTCATTTTCTAATATCTTTGAATGGAAGTACAAAAAATTATCGGTTAGACATTTTTTTCCAAACAATTCTATAAATAGAAAAAATTTAAACAAACTAACCAATATTTAAATAATAAACACACATCACGACGCCTCTGGCTCTTCCTAATTTCTTCTGCTTCTACATGTTGCAAGCCACCAGCTCGTCTATACCGGTTAATGTTAGTAAAGTAGAAAAAGATAATGAATAATTGGAATACTGTATATTTCGTACAGAGTTAGATCATGTTATTTTTAAATATTATTTTCGTGGTATACTAATGTCAAAAAGCATCGTATAATCAATACGCCCGGTAGTCACTTCTTTTTAAAAATATATTGAGATATAAAAAATATTGTAATTTTTTTTGGAGCATCTTCAAATTATCCTATTAATATTATCATGTAAAACCTAATGCTTGCCGTAATTAAAAAATACACCAGTCCTTTACATTGACCTGACATATAGTGCTAAAGTTAAGTCTCAGTCCCCTTCCATTTCCAAATTCCGTAATTTTTAAAACAAAGATGCATTTTAATAAAATATTTTTATGCCAATACTATTTCTATTCCTACGAAAAAAATAAGACATATCGGGATTTATAATATATATCGGCATCACTGCAATATATCCGTCGTGTCCACAAAATACGTTCATCTGCGAGTCAGTAGCAGAAGCTTCCGTCCAAATTAGGAAAAAAAGTTTTGAGAACGTTTTTAGTTTATCGCTGTTATGACGGGTTCGAATATATTTAACGGTTCCCGATCGCAGAGGAGGTCGTATTAAACTGCGGCCTTAAGGTTCCATAAGAAAATATACGTACCGTCGGGCATGCTTGACTGACACGGCTTGGAACGATAAAATGCGCGTCAGGCATATATGCCCGACGTGGCCTGACTGGAAACATCACATAATAATGTTTGTTTAAATTTTAATGACTATTTGTTTATTTGTGCTCAGTATAATATTGTGTTTATCAATAAGTATCTCTCTCTCTCTTAGATTTTTTAAATCTAATAATTTCAGCCAAATATCGTGGTGGGTAGATTGTTTTCAGTGGCCCACTTTGTATCGGTATATTGTTGACTTTAGAATATCTGGTACGGGTAGGATATATATGACCATTTTATTTGTTTGTAACCGATCGAAGAGTTATTCTGAAATAAGTAAAATAAAAAAAACAATATTGTTACCGGTTTATTTTTATTTCAATTAAAAAAATACAATATTTTGTCATTTAAGTATTACATGATTTGATAATATGTTCTTAGTATAACTACAATAATACCGTTTTAGGTATTTAACTAATTTAATTCTATAAAGCTAAATTTCAGTTATTTAAAATTCTATAGTAATAGTGGCATAGCCAGGTGAGAACCAGGGGGCGCTTGCCCCTTCCGCCTCCCTTGCTAGGCGCCTCTTGCCGCCTATATAAACAATACACGGTTACTTTTATGGCACCCTGTAACATTCATTGAAATTGAAAAATATTTGGTAACATATTTTTAAAAAAACAACACCGTATTTGTTTGAAATGCCTCCAATATTATTTTTTCTAATTTTGACATATAAAGTGACATTTTTTATAATCGCGCAAGTGTCAGAATGATCTGTTTCAAAATAGTATATTATGCAACGATCATGTAATGATGGTTATTAATACACGAGCATTAACCGGGATACGAAACGAGCCAAAGGCGAGTTTCGTATGGTTTATGCGTGTGTTTTAATAACCATTACATGAGAGTTGCATACGCTATTTTTTCTACACCCGAATAATAATCAAGGCCTATAAAATTATATTTATATTGGTATTGAACACAATAATAATAATTACTCGTGTATTTCTATAAAAAATTCTACAAAATTGTAATTAATGGTATTACTTCGGGTATTGGTATTTCCCTAGATTTTTGCGGCAAAATATTTTGTACTGTATTTTCTGCTTTCTCCGACATGTGTGGAGGAGTCTTCTATATCGCTGATATCAGACATTTTAATATTATAATTAACGAAGTTTAGTTATCTACCAAAATTTAATACGTTTTGACAACTAAAACAAATACATAGGAACCTAGGACAAACGTCAAACAGCATGCTTGATTGAACAATTGTAGGTTTCTATTGATTAAAAATCTGTATCGTAATGAAAAATCTGTATCGTAATGAAAAATCTGTATCGTAATGAAAAATCTGTATCGTAATGAAAAATCTGTATCATAATGGGTATCATTATGAAACGGATTATGGGCATATAAGTGCATTATTATAATACGGGTGTAGAAAAAATTAATTATATCACCAGTGTGAAAAGAAAACAAATAAAAATAAACCTTTTTCGGTTTAAAAATCAATAATTTGAAAGTGCAACGTTTTTAATGTATACATCTTATAAGTTATAATTACACAGGCCCGCGAAAATTTTGTGATCTAGCCATTTTATTTTTTTTTTTTCACCTATTTACAACTTCTACATAGCTAAAATAACCTCCTTTTTATTCTATCAAGTAAACTTTTTTTGTAAACTAGTATCAAGGGTATTATCCCTGAACATCACAAACAAAATAATTTGAATTCCTTATTTTTGTTCAAAATGTTGCGCGTTAAAACCTCGTTTTAATTTGCGCATTTGTAGGGAGATTTACCGGTACTTACTAGAATATTGTTGGGGATTCCCCGAGACTCGATTTATTCAGGAAATAGGGCGATATATTTAGTATCCCCGTGATATTGAGACAGGCGTTGTCTATCGAATTCTATCGGTGTTCCGTTGTGCACTTTCTATTAAAAAAATGTCTAGTAGGTGTTGTAAAAATGGGCCTGATGACTTTTGTTATACAGGGTGTTTATTAATTGAGTGCCGATACTTAAGGGTGTGATTCCTTAGGTGATTTTAAGAAGAAAAGTTAATATCAACATATGTCGTAACTCACTTAATTTTTGAGCTACAGGGTGTTACAGTTTTAAGAAAAAAATTACTTTTTTATCATAATTTTTTTATCACTCCAGATATTTCTATGATATTTTGTACACACGTTTTAATAATTAAGGAGCATTTTTGACGTATAAGATTTTTTAAAATTTTTATCAGTGACGTCCGTACGGGGTTTGAACTGAATATTTTTGAAGAAAAAAAAATGGTACGCCACTGCTTTTTCTGAAAACCAAAATTATTTTTAAAATCATAATTTATTTTGGAGCAAACTTGGCTCATAGACTTACTTTCGTACGATGCACCGTTTTCGCGTAAAAAAATAAAAACCATTGTAGTGGTTGGTCAAATTTTTTCCTTAAATTCATTGATACCTACTGCTTTTGATATTTTGTTGAAATCTGGTAGGCACCCACCATGCGTGGAAACATTTTTTTGGGACAAAAATTAATTTTCTACGTTTTGAATAGAAAAAAATGATAAGCGCATTATTGCCCTCTTAAAGCAAATGAAATAAACATTAGTAGGCTGGGTAAAGCGTCATCATTTTTGACGTTTCTTTTCATAAAGACAATAAAGTTAACATTGATTTTACATTATTAAATAATTATTATTAGAGTAAGAGTTAAAATCTGAAAAAAAAATGGTAAATTTTACGAACAGTGAATTAGCTGACATGCATTTTAGTTATGGGCTTGCAGACGGAAATGCATACGAAGCCAGACGGATATACCAAGAGCGGTATCCAAATCGCGTACTACCTGATCCGAGAACATTTTCTAGGATTCATAGACGTCTTCACGAGACCGGAACTTTAAAAGTAGACCACAGGGCTAAAGGAGTCCATCAAACAGTAAGAACACCGGAACTTGAAAAAGGAATTTTACATGAAATTGAGGAGAACCCCGAAACTAGCACGAGGAGAATCGCGTCAACATTTAATGGTTCACATGTACTTGTTTGGAAAATTCTCATCGAAAATTTGTTATACCCATATCACATTCAAAGAGTCCAGGCATTACTCCCTAGAGATTTCCCGTTGCGCATTAATTTCTGTGAGTGGTTTCTTCAAAACCTGCTGGAAAATCCATTATTTGACAGGCACATTCTTTTTACCGATGAAGCTAATTTTTCTCGAAACGCAATAATAAATTTCCATAATAACCATTTATGGGCGGATGAAAACCCTTATGCAATTATTGAGTCAAATCATCAAGAACAGTTCTCATTAAATGTTTGGGCTGGCATTATTGATGATTATTTGATAGGTCCATTTTTTCTCCCAAGAAGACTTGATGGACAATCATATTTACACTTCCTTGAAGATGATCTGCCGCCAATGCTTGAAGACCTTCCTCTTTTATTAAAAACCAGATGTGGCTAATGCACGATGGTGCGCCTCCACATTTTAGTTTACGAGTGCGTGAATTTTTAAATCACACCTATCGTAATCGGTGGATAGGTCGCGGAGGAACGCAGTCATGGCCGCCTAGATCTCCCGACCTTCATAGTTTAGACTTCTTTTTCTAGGGGCATCTGAAAAGCTTAGTGTACGCAGTGCCGATTCAATCCGAAGAAGAGTTACGAAATCGTATAACAGCCTGCTGCCAAACCATAAGAAACACCCCAGGAATCTTTGAAAATATGCGTCAGTCCATGCGAAGAAGAGTAGATGCTTGCATACGTGTGGGTGGAGGACACTTCCAACAATTACTGTAAATTATTTGGGTTCTTTATTTTGTTTGTATTCTCTTGTAATTTCGTTTTAGATTCAAGATTTAGAATTTTCATTTTACTATAAATAAATCCCGATTTTTAAAATACATAGAATTTAAAAAAATCAGAGGTGTACGTCTTTTTTCTATCCAAACATTCAATATGATGCCTACGTGGCCGTCACTGGTGAAAGTAGAAAATTAATTTTTGCCCCAAAATAAGTGTTTTTACGCATGGTGGGTGCCTACCAAATTTCAACAAAAAATCAAAAGCAGCTTAAGAAGAAAAAATTTTGGTTTTTATTTTTGTACACTAACACAGTGCATCGTACGAAAGCAAGTCTATGGGCCAAATTTGCTCAAAAATAAATGAATATTTCAAAAATAATTTTGTATTTTAGAAAAAACAGTGGCGTACCATTTTATTTTCTTAAAAAAAATATTTAGTTCAAACCCCGTACGGAAGTCACTGGTAAAAATTTAAAAAAATCTTATACGTCAAAAAATGCTCCTTAATGATTAAAAGGGGTTTACAAAATTTCATAGAAATATCTGCAGTGATAAGAAAATTATGAAAAAAAAAAAAAATTTTTTTCTTAAAACTGTAACACCCTGTAGCTCAAAAATTAAGATATTTACGACATATGTTAATATTAACTTTTCTTCTTAAAATTACCCAAGGATTCACACCCTTAAGTATCGGCACTTAATTAATAAACACCCTGTATTTGTGGACACATTATAGTGAAGAAGTTTAAAAGAAACATTACTGATTTCGTAAAAAATGCATATTTTGCATATTTTAAAGTCAGACTTTTAGATCAAGATAAACCTTGGGCGCCACATGTTATCTGCAAGATTTGCGAAGAAGCTTTGAGGCATTGGTTTAAAGGAACGAGAAAAGCCCTAGCTTTTGGAATACCAATGGCCTGGAGAGAACCTAAAAATCGCATTGACGACTGCTGTTTTTGTCTTTGTGATATTAAAGGTCATAACACAAAATCTCTTAAGTATATTAACTAGCCTAATCCTTCGTCTGCAATAAGACCAGTTCTACATAACGCTGATATACCTGTACCTGTTCCACCTAAAGTATTACAGTCTATCGAATCAGAATCTTCAACAGATTCAGAAAATGACATTTTTGAGCCATCTACCTCAGGAACCCGTGAACCGCAGCTGTTTTCTCAAGTAGAACTGAATGACAGGGATTTGGAACTTCCAAAAGACCTCTCTGAGGTTTTAGGATCAAGGCTTAAAGAAAAAAAATTACTTGCTCCAGGTACTCCATTTTATTGGTATAGAAATCGTGAGGCTGAATTTGTCAATTACTTTGCCGCAGCTGGTTCACTTGTATATTGTCAAAATGTATCTGACTTGGTTATTCACCTAGGTGCTCCTGAATACAATCCTGCCGAGTGGATACTTTTTATAAACTCTTCAAAGAGAAGTCTTAAAGCTGTTCTACTTCAATAATGGCAATTTATATACATCTGTTCCTGTTGGTCATTCTACTCAAATAAAAGAAAATTACGAAGAATAAAGAAGAATAAACTACAAACAACATAACTGGATTCTATAAGGTGACCTTAAAATTTTAGGGTTGCTTTTAGGTCAACAATCCGGTTATATGAAATACCCATGTTTCCTATGTGAGTGGGACAGTAGAGCAGAAGATGACCACTGGATCAAAAAAAACTGGCCACCAAGAAAAATTTAACGGCTGGCTCCAAAAACGTAATTCAAAAAAGACTAGTTGAAATTTTGGGTCTTTATTAGGATTATGTTTAATAATTCAAATTATCTCTGGAATTTTTTTAGCAATACATTATTGTCCTAATATTGAATTAGCATTTAATAGAATTGCCCATATTTGTCGAGATGTAACCCAGCCAGCACAAACATTCATGGGAAGTTAGGCAACGTTAGTTTTAATGCCTCATGTAAACATTTCAAGCTTATATTGTAGCAACCGCATTGTAGCGTTTCTAATCTACAATTAAACGTTACATTGCATCGTTTTCGAGAAATATACCTGATTCATTATAAAAAAATTTTCGAAAGAACATTTTTTCAAGCTAAATAAAAATCTTTCCAACGACATTTCGTTAGTACATTTATGACAACATTACGATGAAATGTTGTTGAAATACTCATGGAATATAAAACGCGAAAAATAAATGCACAAATTAATATTGCAGCTACGTATCGTATATACATACCCGCATCATACCCGTACTAGTATTTGCGTTATATTGAATGGTAATGTTACCTGTGAATCGCCCTTAAAGGTTGCTGGTTTATTGATGATTTATTGTACAAGAATAAAAAAGAAGAAAAAGAAAAACTTCCTAACCTCATTTTTTTCAGCGGTGCCGGTGCTTTTGCCGCGTTTTTGTTGATTGAAGGCTTGGGTTGATGGAAGCCCTCTTTTTTTATAATATTCATTACTTGTTTTAATAGTGATAACTTTGCTGGGTAAGTAGCTACAAACATTATAGAAATGTACAAATCAATTAAGAGTATTTCTGCTCGTCATAGAAGACGCCTTAAGCAGAAATTATTATTAAATGTTCCTTTGAACCACAAAAACCGTAGGGATCAGGTAAGTTCTGAACTGGTTTCTGTTGAACAACAAAATCTAGAGGTATCCGCCTATTGTAACAAGCACGACACACAGGAAGCTAATTGTGCTCTCCCCATAGTCCCCATTGAGCCAAACAATGATAATATCTTTGAGTCTGATCAAGATTTTGACTTGGAAGATCTTTTATCAAAAACCAGTTCAGAAGTAAGTAGCTGTGATACTCTAAATAGTAATGATTATACGTTAAAAGATCAAGGAAATGGTGACTCTTACTTGACATACGATTTAAAAGATTGGACTCTCGAATGCAAATTACCCCAGACTCATATCACTAAATTATTAGGTGTTCTTCGAAAATATAACATAAAGGTACCACAAGATGCACGAACTTTGATGAATACTCAAAGATATGTAAATACCATTAGCGTTCCTCCAGGAAATTATAGTCACCTTGGAATAAAAACACAAATTTTAAAGCTTCTTGCAATTTTACCTCAAGATTTTCAAATTCCATCATGCATAAAAATTGTGATAAATGTAGATGGTTTACCATTAAGCAAAAGCTCAGGCAGCCAGTTTTGGCCTATAATAGCCTGGTTTGCAAATTCAAATTTTGAATGGATTTTTATGACAAAAACATTTGTTGTTGGAGTTTATCATGGCTATACAAAACCAAAGTCACCTAATGAATTTTTAAATCAGTTTTGTCAAGAAATTATAGAACTACAAGAGAATGGGTTTTTATTTCGAAACAGGACATTACATATTAACATAAGTCATATTGTCTGTGATGCACCTGCTCGAGCCTATATAACATGTACAAAGAGTCACACAGGGTATCATGGTTGTTCCAAATGTATACAGGAAGGGGAATTTAAACTAAATAGAATGACTTTTCCTGATCCTAATAGTACTCCTAGGACTGATGATTCTTTTCGAACAAAATCTGATGAGTATCATCATACAGGTATTTCATTACTAGAAAATTTAAATATTGGAATGGTAACCCAAATACCAATTGACTATATGCATCTTGTTTGCTTAGGGGTTACCAAACGTTTATTTCAATTTTGGCATAAGGGTCGCCAAGATGTGAGAATACCCACATCTCTTTTCTCAGACCTTTCAGAAATTATTGTCAACTTTAAGCAATATATTTCCTCAGATTTTTCACGAAAACCTAGAACACTATTTGAAGTAGTTCGATTTAAGGCCACTGAATTTAGGCAGCTTTTGCTCTATACGGGGGTTGTTGCTTTGAAAGGTATTTTATCAGATGATCAATACAGTAACTTTTTACATATTTCATGTGCAATAAGAATTCTTATAACACCAGATTTATGCATGGAGTTAAATGAAAGTGCACAAAATGTATTACATGATTTTGTTGTAAGTTATGGTGAACTATATGGTTGAGAGTTTATTACTTATAATATACACAATCTTATACATTTGCCTAGTGATGTAAAAAAATTTGGATGCTTAGATAATTTTAGTGCTTTTCCTGCAGAAAACCATATGTTTCAAATTAAACAAAAAATATGTTTACAATCTGGTAAACCTTTGCAACAATTAATAAAAAGAATAAGAAAGCTCAATAAAACAAACAATAATGAAAACTTTAATATTGCAAAGGAGTAAACAGAAATAAAGTGCAAAACATTTACTCTTACAATTAAACAACCAAATAATGTCTGTTTGTTAAAAAATGGAAATTTTTTAACAATTGCTAATATAATAAAAAAAGATAATTTACTTCATGTAACAGGTCAGTACCTCAAATTAAAAGGTACTTTTTTTAAACAACCAGTTGATTCTATAAGCCTAGGAATTTATTTATGTTCATTTGGAAATTCTTCCGATTCCCTTACAAGCACCTTTGAAATAAATGATATTTTTTGTAAAGTGATGGTACTTCCTTTTAAAGACCTTTTTGTAACACTGCCAATAGCTCATTCTCATGAATTCTGATTGATTAGGATAATAGTGTCATTTTTTGAAAGTTTTCATTTCTGGGTACTTTAACCCTTAACTGGTCCGGCGTCATCTGACAGACTACGCGATATAAACAATTCTTTCTTATTGCTTATTGGTACCTCCCACAGGAAGGTCCTTACATCTAATCCTTTCCCTATTGTAGCTCGACAGGTAGCCATATTTGCGACAGGCTAGCGTCAGTTTCCTAAAAGCTGTGGCAGAAATTAGTTCAAGGGTAGCTGGAAATGCTGAAAATCAAATATTTTTTTAAATTTGTATTTTATGTAAGTTTTTGTTTACCTAACATAAATTTGTATTTTATGTAAGTTTTTGTTTACCTAACACTTTGACAATTTAATATTGCAATATGAAATAATTTTCCTTTTTTTTTTTGGCCATTCCTTAAAAATATGTACTTTTTCGAAATTTCTGTTCTGGTTTTAGTTTTGGGTTTAATTTTGTTTTTATTTAGTTTTAAATATGTTTATTTTTACATATTATTATTAAGTAATGTTTTTAATATCTATGTTAAATAAAACATTTCATTTTGCCTATTTTATTTTTTTGCCCTCCGAAAACAAGTAGCCTCGCAGACTACGTCAGACCAGTTACATTACTGCAGAGTGCCGGACCAGTTAAGGGTTAATATAGCCCAGATCCAGACATTTTAAAGTTCAAATTCACTTGTTATAAGTTCAGATAAAGGTAATACATTTTCTCTAATTTTAAAAGGTAGTATCTAAACGTTTATTATTTTTTCATTTTTGACAGCATTTTTTTTAATATAGATATAAGTATATATTCCTCTTCATTACAACTTGACATTTTTTGGAGATATTTTGGGTAATTGGAGTTTTTGTTCTAATATTTACATTTTTTAACTTAGAATCCTGGTTAGATCAGAATTAGAAAAACTTATATTACTAGTAATATAGTTTTATATTTAGAAAGTTCTAAGAAGTTCCTATGTTTTCGAAAAATACCTACCTAAAAAAGGGAAGGTACAGTTAAGAGTGTCTAATGTTATGTTGGAAAATGGTTTTTTTTGGCTTTTACTGTTTTAGATATGGAATATGCTATAGTGAAGTTTATAAATGAAACTACAGAGAGTGACACAGAAGTGGTGTCTGAAGGACCAGCCAGCTGGTTAACAAAAAAATAATACACATTGCAAATGGCCCTCAGAAAAATTTGCTAGTGTTTATATTGCAAAGAAGTTTGATCCCAAGGATGACTGGGATGAATTTCCAATTGAAGTGGAATACTTCTGTGGTATGTATTACACCTGTCATGACTGATAAACAGTTTTCATTCCCCATAAGAATTACATTGAGAGAAGAACATAGTAAATAATACAGTTATATCTTCCACAACTTTTATCAATTGGTGCTTCATGCATTAAGACACTACAATACTGTTGCTAGAGCTGTAATAAGTGTTGTTTCTCTTGTATATTAATGTTACTTTTTTTTTAAATTATTTAGAAACACTTGCTGAAGCCAAAGACAAACTAAAAAAAAAGATAAGGAAGAAACTGTAGCAAGAGGAATATTTTTCTCCAGCAGAGGAGGATGAAAAAAACATAAAAACAAAGAAAAAATTAGAGAAGAAAGCTAAGTAGGTGTGACTAAGATTATTGTGAAGATGTAGCAACTGTGGCTGACTGAACAACATATTTTCTACTGATATTTAATTGTGATTTTTATAGATACTCCAGATGAAACTGACAAATCAGCCTTAAAATTTATTAACTCATTTCACCAAAAACAAAGTTATCAAACGGATGATATAAACATTTCCCCCCTCAGTCCTGAAAGCAGCAATAGTGGAAGCAGCAGTACAATCAATAATTCTTTAGCCTTAAACTATACAACTGCAAAAGAAAATCATTTAGGTGCAGTTTTCCACTTAGCTCACTTATTTTAAAAAAGAAATGTGTTCTTCTGTTATTTCAAATAATTTGCATTTTAACGAAGATTTGTTAATTATGTCTCATTAATAATTATGAATATAATTTTTAGGAAATTTTATAACCCATGCGGTGATACCAGGTTAGTAAATAAACATTTTTCAGTTTTAAAAACTTTGAACTTTGTTTTTATTATTAAAAATAAGTTTTTTGTTTTCTCTCCACAAAGACTTAGAGTTATTTAAAAAAACTTGTTGCAATAATTGTCTATACAGGGCGTTTATTGAGTACTTGTACCAACTTTAAATGGTGAATCTTTGACTAATTTTAAGGCAAGAAGATCCTCTTAACTTTTGAGGCACAGGGTGGTAAAGTTAAAAAAAAAATCTTTTGTTTCTAATAACTGTGAGACTATTGTAGCTATCTTTACGAAATTGGGTACATGTCAACTACGCATTAAGATGCATTTTTTGATGTACAAACAATTTTATTATTACTACCAGTGGCGTCCGTACGGGTTTTTGCAGAAAAAAAAAAGTACGCCACTGCTTCATCTTAAAATAACAATTATTTTTGAAATTCTCAATCATTTTTGAGCAAATTTGATATCCTTAGTTTTTTTCTTCCGATGCATAGTTTTCGCTTAAAAAAATAAAAACATTTTATTTCGGGGTCAAATTGCTAAAAATCAGGATGTTCAACGTGTACACATGTACCTCAAAGGTTAAGAGGTTTAGGACGCGTATTCATATGAACTTTTTGCCTTAAAATTAGTCAAAGATTCACCATTTAAAGTTTGTACAAGTACTTAATGAACACCCCGTATAATATGCTTAAAGTACTTTTAAAATAAAGTTAATGGTGTTTTTTTACTTTTGGTTCTCATGGCAAATTTTATGTATTTTCATTATCCTGTAATAATTGAAGGTAATATAAGGTTCTAACATAACTAAGTTTTTCAGAAAATGAAGTAAATCAAATTGTAAAAAAATTAGATCAACTTCTTGGAATGGTGGCTGATATCAAAATCGATTTAGTAACAATAAAGGATGGGTTACCAGAACTGTTTAAAAATGATGTTGATAGTAGTCCTGATGGTGAGCTGCCACTTCCATTAACAAATTTGGAAGATCTAGAAATGTACAATGCAGAACTACTGAAAAGTGAACAGGAACGAAAAAAATTTGTAAGTAATCTATTTTAACTTTTTATAGAGCGTTCACATACACTGGTGAGAAAAAATCGACCCACTAGACATATTTGATTTTAAGAATAATAGTTAATTCAACCTAAACTTTAACTTTTTTATTCTTATGAAAAAGCATTTTAAACAAATGAGATGTATAAAAATACATTTTACTTTCTTATTATTATATGTGAGTAAAAAACCCTATGTGTGTTGATTTTTTCTGCCTGTCAGTATATTTTGACACAAATACAAAAAGTTCATCTATTACATTCTAATATAAATGAAATCTAATTTTAACTCTAGTAACTCTTACTTTCAGATCAAATTTTTGAAATCTGTTGGTGGCCACGATGCGAAAGATTGGACCTACAGGTTACTGAAATCCATAATGACTGATACTTTAGCTCAGACATGCTCATGGACTGGGCGCAAAAACAATTTTGAAATAAGGCATCTCAAAATTTTTGATTTATTATATCGTAAGTAGAAGTTGTGTGATAAGTAAAATCCTATACCAAAAAATTAAACCCCAACCCAATTTATTTTATTCTTACCCTATGTCAGTCAGTAGGGTAAAAATCAGTATTATTTTCCTCTCAAAAAAGTAGCTCATATTTCTAAATATTTTTCTATTCCAGGAGTGGTCAACCAGAAAATAGCATCATGTACTGCAAAAGATTTTGAGAATTATGTCGCAGAGTGGCTGCGACATGCCCATACCCGAAAAGTCCGAAAAGAGAAGAAAACATAAGGAAAAAAATTATAATTTGCAATGTGTGTTATTTTAGTTTTAGAGTTGTTTTGTTGAATATCCATATGTATGTTTTACAATATAGTATTATATTTGTTTTTTCTTTACTTTACCTTTTTCATGTTTAGTTCATAAAGATGTACACGTAATCATGGCCTACTAATGTTCATACCTATTTTAAAAAATCTAACTAAATCTGGAACTTATTTTTTTGTCAATAAAATTTAAATTTGCATTCTATTTCTATTAAAAAATAAATATTTACAACTGGAAATGGTATAGAGTGGAGGCATTCGACGTTTCCTTAATAACCAACTATTAATGTTAAGGGTGGGATCCAAACTTTTCAACGAGTTTAAAGTTTTTAGCTATTTTTTGCCATTTCCTTATTTGTGTTTATAATATTTTACAAATATTCCTATACTCTTCATTGGGCCAATTCCTTTCATATAGTAACCAAAAGATATTTTAACATTGCCCCAATTTTGAGGTTGATAAAATTTAGGAAATATGAATGAATAATTATTAATTTATTTAAATATTTAAGTTTCGGTAAGTTTTAAAATATCTTTCGATCACTATATAATAGGATATGGTCCAAAAAAGTATTAAACGCAAAGAAAATGGCAAAAAATTATCTGAAAACTTCAAACTTGTTGGAAAGTTCGAATCCCCGTCTAAATGTTGCGTTAAGTTTTTAGAGGAACATTATTACAGGTAGCCTGATTAAAGGGGTTCAAATTACCGAACTCCCCTAATCAGGTTGATTAGTAACCTCTCAGGGTCGGGTTCCTGTGAATAGAGAGAAGAAAATGATTGATAGAATGTGAACGGGCCTTTATTATCTTCTAACCTCGATGCATCGATCGTTGTCAAAAGTAAAATTTATAACCAAAAAATTACATGTATCCGAAATGTGGACTATTATTAGGAACAAAAGAAAATTATTATGTACAAGGCGTTCCCACAACTATTCTAACCTTTAACTTACATACACTTATAATATATAACCCTCCAAGTGGGTGGTAAAAGTGCGGTTACGTAGAGTACTCTTCGTATTACAAGAGACAACTAAACCGGTAGGTGGATATTACAATTTAAATATATACATATACAAAATAAATTGAGTATTTAATCAGGTATTTAACTCTGCTTGTTGTAGGCTGTCTCAAACAACCTAACCTCGTGAGTAGATGGGGGCCCTCCGAAATATAGGGTTAGAAAAAGGAACTGTCTTACTTGTGGTGATTAAGTGAACTCAACTAAGCACGATGTCCAGTTAGGCAGCTTCCTCTTGATATCGGTAGGTAGTAGACTGCTATGAAAACGACTTCGTATTCGGTGGGGTTATCTAATTGTCCGAACTCTGTTGCTAGCACGCAAACGGTGCAGTGAAGAAGCCCTATTCTGTATGGAGAGGTGGAGAGAACTTGTACACAGTCCTTAGAAGTATTCCTCTAATAAAAGCGTTACTCAGAATTGTAAATCGGAGCGAGCGAAGGAAGGAACGCACTAATGGAAGGAGCGAACCAAGGAGGTCTGAAAAACATTGACGATTGTAACTATTATGTATACAGAAGGCTGTTGGGAATACACGTAAGTGAAATAATAATTCATTTTGAAAAACTCACCCTTGATGGTATGTGACCTCTTAGTTATTAATTTATTCACACTTTTAGTCCGATACTATATCCACCACTAGGTGTATGAATCACAAAGATCACTAGCAATATATCGGACTAAAGGAATCTATGGTTTTTGCAAAGGAATAAATCCTAGAAAATCCTAGTTGGAATCTTTGCACATGCCACAATCAGAATCCAAGCAAAAACTGGGCCAGGAAGGAAGTTCCACAAAATGGCCAACAAAAGTCAATGTCTTAGCAAGAAGGCCCTGACTACAAAAGGGTAATGGGATAATTTCTGGTAAGACTGTGGTCATTATTTATAAATCTAGAAGAATCTGACAACTGAAGGAGTTAAAATTGACATGTAAACAATAACAATAAAAATAAAGCTTTTTAGTAATTAAATGAGCTAGAGTTATTGTTCAAAGTAGCGAAATATATTTACTTACATTATAAATTATTTATTAAGGTATTAATTATTATTGAATACACTCCAGGTGAGATTATACTCTATTACAAAACATTATTTTATATTTTACTACAAAATATGTTTGATAAAAATGGATATTTTATGAATTTATTCAATGGACCCATTTTATTGATTTGTATACATTTATATACCGCACACTCTTAAATCCAAAGGTAACTAAAGAGATTAGCATAAGTTATAGTAGAATAGATAAGTAATAGATTAGTTTAGTAATTAGAGTAGCTTAAGTTAGAATTAAATAGAAGTAGAATAGTGTACATAGTTAAGCGTAGGATAGATTAGAAGTAGAATAGTGTAAATAGTTAAGCGTAGAATAGGAATAGGTATGATAGCTTAGACTAATTTAGAATAGGGTAGACATTAGAATAAGTTAGAATAATTTAGATTAGGTTAGAATAGAAAAACCTAGTTTAGCGTAGTGTAAGTTTACAATAGGGTAGGCTAGGAAATAGGATAGGTTAGAATAGTTTAGAGTAGTGTAAACTAGGGTAATTTAAGACTGGAATAGATTTAGGGAGAATAAAACCCGTAACAACATTCATTTGAAATGTTCCAGGTATATTTAAATTGTAATGTTCTAGGTATATTTAAATTGAAATGTTCCAGGTATATTTAAATTGAAATATTCTAGGTATATTTAAATTGAAATGTTTTGGCGCACACATAAATTTACATTCCCTAAATAGTTATTCACAACATAGTAGAAAGGTTTTACTACACGCCTTTCTACGGTAGTTCGAATATCTCTAGAATATATCACTGAAACTTCTATGGAATATTTTATTAAGGGCTTATGAGGCGGACATTTCAATGTTTCAGAAACGTTGTGGCATACATACAAATAACATTGCTTGCGAGGTTTAAAGGCGTGTTGTAACATTTAGTTACTTTCCAGAAATGTTGCTGTGCTGGCTGGGAAATTACGAAAAATTGGTGGTTGCTTTAAGTACTTGTGCGAAACATTTCCGGGTCTCTCTGGTTGAAGAAGGTTAATGAAAACTAATAAAATTGAAACGGTTATGCAGGAAGACGAAAAAAAAGCATGGACAGCTTTTAAACAAAATATAAATAAGTTTCTAGGAAACTACAAAGACCCTGAATTTGAAAGTATTGCTGAAAACATGTTGTACAAATTTAGAAAGTTAGGCTGTAACATGAGCTTAAAAATTCATTTTCTACATGCTCATCTTAACTATTTTCCGGATAATCTTGGCGATGTCGGTGAAGAGCAAGGAGAGCGTTTTCACCAGATCATAAAATAGATGAAACGGCGATATTAAGGGCGCTGGGATATCAGAATGGCCGACTACTGTTGGCTGCTTAAAAGGGACCGTCCTACTGCAGAATATGCACGAAAAATAACAAAAAGAAGCTTTTCCGGAAAGAGAGAAAGATTTTTTAGGGAAACAGAGGATTAATATATTTTTACTGTTTGCATTCTTGTTGTATTTTGTTTAAAAACCTTACGTGATAGAAAAAAAACTATAAAAGCAGATTTAAAATCAGCGTCACTGAAATGCCCAATTTCAGTTAAAAAGTTCAATTCACATTTTACAGAGTATTTAAACGTAGGACTGTGTTATCTAAGAGTGCTCACATGCAGCGGAGTCACCAAGTAAATTCGAATATTTACTGAAAATGGAAAATTCTGTACAATAAGTAAATGAATGCAAATCGTTTTTTGTTAAAATTTAAAAATATGTACAGCGGAAAATAATTTGAATACGCCTCTTTCGTGCAGTACGTCCCAAAATTGTTAATTGAACATGCAAAAAAGAAGAAATATTGAAGAACAATTATGTACATGTACTTTTTTGTAATTACTGGGAACCCTTATTTAATGTACGCATTAGAAGTTTGTAATATTTACTACATAGACAATTAATTAACATCATTACTTTTGCGTCATTTGTATCATTGTCATCCTCAGTTAGGCCTTTAAGATTAAAGAAATTATCTAACATTTGGGAATAACTATCGAAAGTTTCATTATTTTTGTCGAAAGGTTCAAAGGAAAGAGCTTGTGGTTGGAGAACTTCCTTAACATTCTCACTTGTGCTGGGTCAATTTTAATTTTAAAGTGTGAAGACTAATCCACTGAGCGCTTCTATAGGTAGGGCTAAAATAGTTTCAGCCATTTAGCTGCCTCTCGAGTGTGGTTCTTTCTTGAAGGTTGTTTGGTTTTAAAGATATAAAGCCTTAGATTCTGCTTTTCCTCTGTCGCCAAATTATTATGTTGAAATTAAACTCTTTTGACTTAACGTTATTAATTTTTCAGTCGTAATGACATTGATTGTCAAAGCCAGGTACATAGTAGGCCATAGCAAGGAATATAGTATACAGTATAATAATTATGTTTTTGTTTAGATACATTGGAATTGGAGTTTGTTATTTAGAATTTTTTCGATCATTTTTTTTTTTGTTGTTCATTTCGGAATCGTATGCATGTCGCTATAACGTGAGATTTTATCAAGAATTTTACTAAATCAAAAAAGCATACGTTTATTAATTGTTTAAAGTGCATCGATTATTTTACGACCTATTTTAGCGTATGCAAATATGTTAAACACTTCCGAAATGTATGCACACATTTTTTTTCGCGCATATTTACCCAATAGGTTAATTGTTCGCAATCCATGCTAGAAATGTTACTCAGGGCACAGTTTATTCGGGGACTATTAGACGCAACAACCCGAGAAAGAATACTTCAATTAACAAATATTTCTTTTGAAAAGGCAAAAGAAATTGATGTATCTATTGAAATTTCTAGAAAAGAAAATCGTGATGTTTATCATAGTTCCTCATCTGGTCCAGCTACTATTAACGCGGTAAATTCTCACGTACAACAAAAAATGTCCAGTTCTAATAAAAAACATGATGTCGATAGATAGGGAAGTAAATACCGAAACAAGATTAATTTAAAAAACTTGGACTTATTGGAGTATGTTTACATTATGGAAAAAATAATCATTCAACACAGAAATGTTTTTCTACAGAAAATTTACAATGTAGACGGTGTCATAAAAAGGAACACAGATAAAGTTTGCATAACATCTTTAACGAGACAAAGTAAATTAATAAATAATATTGATCACAATTCTGAAACTTCTGGTGATGAATAGTTATCGACGTGTATGCTAGTACTGCATCTATGTTTGAACCAAAAATGTATGTGTAAGTCCAAATTCAAAATAAACCCTGTAGTTTTGAATGTGACACAGGAAGTCCAGTATCAATAATCTCCAAAAATGATTTCGAAGCCCCCAATTTGAATATTTCTATGCAGAAAATGAATGTATGTTTTAGATCGTACACACAACTTATTTTCAAACCCCTAGGAGTTATCGATTTTCCTGTTTCATACAACAATAAAAACGTAATGACAGACCTTTACATCGTACCATAATATGGTAGTCCTAGTTTAGGTAAAAGGTGGATACGGTCACTACAAATTAGTAAAATTTTCGAATGATTTCAAGATGATTTTAGTCCTGAAGTTGGTAAAGTTCCAGATTTTTCAATGTTCACTTCAATTACGATCAGATGCTAACAGCTGATTTTTCAATCGTACATTAAAATCCTTATTTAGTAATTGTTACTTAAAGTTAAATTGTAATTAAAAAATAAAGTGTTTTTCAAGCCAATTCAAACTGACAATTAACTAATGTCAATTTTAGCATATTTTTTGTAAGGTTGGTATTGAATTTTTGTAATCTTTAAGGATTATAAACATTTTGAACCATATTAAACCTATGAAGTTTATTTGACACATACAAATTTCAAACATATTTTAAACGAGTGAGAGAATGGAAAAAGTGTTATCACAAAACTAAGTACTTACGGTTCTAAAGTTGAATTAAAATGTACTATTAGTATTATTTCATATTGTAGACAACGAAAAAGAGCTACAAACTTCAGCAAGGAAGAGGAGCATTTGCTTGTTGCTCTGGTGGGACACCATAGAGTCAAAAAAATCTGGGGCCTTTAGTTGGAAACAGAAAGAAGCAGTATGGAAGAAATTAGAAAAAGAATTCAATTGCAGCAATACGGCAACATCTTATAAAGATACGAAGACATTAAAAACTAAGTACTGCAATATTAAACAAATAACAAAGGCCAAATTTGCCGAAAATATAAAAAAAAATACATAAAACTGGAGGTAGAATATCATCGCCTGTTCATTTTAGCGATATAGACTTAGCAGTAAAATATTTAATAGGAAAGCAAATAGACGGCCTACAAAGTGAATTTGATTCTGATGCTGATGCAATAAAAGGTGGGTAATTAGAATGTGTGCATAACTGTATTTAATAATTGTGTTTTAAGGCTTTTGTGAATCTGGTGATGCCTCAAAAGTAGGTGTATCCAATTTGGAACTACCTGAAGATACCCCAGAGTTTATGTCATTGGATAACGGTAAACACAATTACTTAGATTCAAGTTTTCAAAAAGTTTTAGATAAAGCAGAGAAAGAAGTTGATGCCAAAGGTGATAAAGAAATAGACGAAAATGATTGGTCAGATTATACACCGAAAATACTTAAAAAACCAGTGACCTCTAAATTACAGCAAAAGAAAACCCAACACTTTTATCCAAAAAAAATATAATACTATTCAGAATAATTTAATGGAAGAAAAACAAAATTTTTTAGTTACAGCACAAATCATTTTTAACAGAACATCAAGAGAAATTAAAACTGATTAAATTAGAATGTGAACAGAAGACTGAATTATTTCAAAAAAAACTTATTCTAAAAGAAAAAGCAACATGAATTAAAATTGCAATTATTAGAAAAACAAATGTTGTTACTCAATAAACAAATTGAGAATTTGGAGTTGTAATGCTGATTTAAAACAACTAGTTTTTTTTACGTTAAAATTTTGGTTTAGTTTGAGATATTAGTTTTGTATGCTGTTGTTAATTAATTTTTTTTTAAAATATAGTTTTTATTTGAAAATTGTATAAAAGTAATTAACTATACTAGTGTTACATAATAATTGTTAATTAAATGTAATCTTGTCGTGTTATTTATATCAAATAATCTAATACCACCTTCTTCTCTGTGGTTTGCTGCCACACCTTGGATCAATGGCATATTATTGACTAGTTGGATGGCAGCTTCTTGTTCTTGGTTAACTGGTGGTACATCTTCTCTTTCTTTGCAGGCAATATTATGTAACACAGCAGATGCAACAATAACAGTTGTGTGTTTTGAATTTTGAGTCAAACCCATGGCCAATGCAGGAAACCTTCTTTTCCATACTCCATATTGCCTTTCTACTACGTTTCTGGTTTTTATTTGCGACTTATTAAATAATCTTTCTGCTTCATTGTGAATCTCATTCAATGGTGTAATCAAATATTTTTTAATTGGGTAATCACTATCTCCAACTATCAAACTGTCACCAAACATTCTATTTTCAAATAACCAATATATATTCGAACTCCTAAAAATATGGGAATCATGGCTTGATCCTGGCCATCTTGCAACAATGTCTTCTATTTCGAGATTATAATTTGAAATAGTTTGGACATTTATTGAGAAAAAATTCTTTCTATTTCGGAATATTTCCGCATTATCTCCACCTGGTGATTGAACTCTAATGTGAGTGCAATCAATTGCACCAATGCACCCGGGAAACCTTGCAATCTCAAAAAATTTCTGTCTTATGTATGATACTTCTTCTAGAGTTTGAGGCATTTTAATATATTGTGGTCTTAAGGAAGCAATAGCTCTTGAGACTCGTTTAATGGTTTAACAAGCTGTTGGTCTACTTACTCCGCAAAAGTCACCAGATATTTTCAAAAATGACACATTTGAAATAAAACTTAAAAATAGCAATAACTGGTTTTCTAGTGAAAGACAATCATTTCTGAAATAAAAAGCATTGTAATACACATTATTCATCATAATTGAAACCTGTACAAACCTGTTGGTGGGATATTTAATATTGTTACGAATTTCATCTAGTACATTTTGTACAGATCTTTTTGAAAGTCGAAACCTATCAAAAAAATATTTTTCGTCAAATTCTTCAAAAAAATGTGGTCTGTTTCTAATGAGCTTTGGCCTTCTAGGTTCATCATCGCTGGAATACGCCTTTATATCATTCCAATAATCCATAATCACAGAAGTAAATAATAGTATTTATAAATTTTACTGTCACTTTCAAAAAAATAGTGTTAGAAACTTATAATTAATTCGTTAAAGTATACTTTTCTGTCCATTAACTTAATTCAAAGTTAAGTTGTATTTAAAATTTAATGAACAATTGAAAAACACCTTATTTGTCCTAAGTTCAAATTTACTTTTAATTGACATTTAATGAACGATTGAAAAACCAGCTGTAAACCAATTTACCTTAAATCCCGGCGAGTTCCTTACGCTCTCCAAGAAGAAATTGAACGAGAATTAGATACACTAGAAAAATAAAATATAACTAAAACCGACCATTCAGCATAGGGAACAACGTTGGTCATCGTTAAAAAAAAAGAATGGCAAAATACGTCTTTGTGCCGATTACAAGGTCACTGTTAACAACCAACTTATGGAAAACCAATACACGATTCCTAGAATTGAAGATATTTTTAATAAAATGAAAAATGGCGCATATTTCTGCACAGTAGATATTTTTAAAGCTCCAAATCTCCATATTCCAGTTGATGATACCACTTTAAAAATCCAGGCTATATCTACACATAGAGGAAGGTATTTAGCTAACAGGCTGCTATTTTTCGAAATTAAAACCGCACCAAATGAGTTTCATAAGATAATTGACCAGATCACCCAAAATTTAGATGGAACAATTGTATATTTTGACGACATGTTGGTTTAGGGTTCGACTGTTGAAGAATGTAAATACCGATTGATTAGAAAAACTGCGTAGATATAATTTACACCTCATCAAAGAAAAATGCAGATTTTTTGAGAATGAAATTAGCTACTTAGGTTGTAACCTACCAAATGAACTCGGCGATTCCACCAAAATTTTAAACTTAAAAAAAATTTATTAAAGAATTAACTACAAAACTTTACCTACTCGGTTACATAAGATTCGGTTGTTCCGGTGTCAACCTTTATGCCTTCGACGTCGCTCAGACGATAGCTAGGGTGTGGGTAGCTAAAATTCCGGAAATAGTAGATAAAATAAAAAGGGCGATAACGGAGTTAAATTATTGGCCAAACATTTCAAATATTCCCCCACTAACCCCGTGAATGAGAAAAGAAATAAAAGATCAACCTCAACTTATGTTTTCTTTATATAAAAAAAATTACCTGATAAAATGTAATTTAACAAATTTACAAATAATAAAGAAAACCTCTAATAAGGATTAATAATGATCACACAATACTAAAGTTAAAAAAAAATATAAAGCCAGGTATATGATGAATTATATAATACCATAAAAAAGGTATCAATACCTACCAAAGGTCTAATAACTAATAAATAAGGTAAGAAATTAACTCATATATGTATATGCATAAACCCAAAAAAAAAAATTATAATTCCATCAATGGATGGCATGGTAAGTCATTGGCTGTGGTACCAGAGCAAAGGACAGAGTGAGGTAGAATAGGGTGAAAAACCTGCAAAATATTAATTTCTACCTTTTACATGTATCTTACCATATAACAGAATTTATAATAACCAACTAAATATCGTACACAAACTTGCAAAGTTATCAAATGACGCCATATATAAATTGCAACCAATAATTTAATATACACCCTATAAAAACTTTCAACAATCTTAAATATATACCATAGGCATACCCGTACCTATATAAATTCGCAGCATTTAATGCTGGACCGCAATATATTTTAAAAATAAAAATACTAAATAAAAAAAAATACACAAAGGACTTAAGACAAAATTGGTATGCTTTGAAGCTCCCATAAATAGGAAGAGGTTGTAAAATCTCTGCCCCCACGCGAATCTTCTGAGATTACTTAACTTATACGTTGTCTTATCACAAAAAAAAAAAAAAAATAAAATATAAAAATGAAGAATAAGGTTAAATTTGACTGTAGCTCTTAATAACTGAAGATTTACAACTTAAGCGTAGAAGCAGTCCAGATGTTCTGCAACTAGAAGAATCACTACTCCAGCATTAAGTGCTTATTTAAAAAAAAAAAAAAATAATAAATGAAAAATACGCAAAGGACTTCAGACACCGTTGATATACTTTAAAGCTCCCATAAATAGGAAGAGGTTGTTAAATCTCTGCCCCCACACGGGTCTTCTGAGATTGCTTAACTTAATCGTTAAATCTGGTCCATTTAATAATGAATAAATTGAAAAAGTAAAATTATGACAGTAGCCCTTAATAACTGAAGAATTACAACTTAAACGTGGAAGCAGTCCAAGTGTTCTGCGACCCGAAGGATTACTACATCAGCATTAAGTGCTTAAATTAACTAAATTTAAAATATTAAATTGAATATAGGCTTACTGGATTTCTTTTTTTTTAAATAATTGAATGTGCTAGTATAAGTAAAAATAGTGGTCAACTATGCCCTAGGTTCATTCGTATACCCTAAGAACACTGAAAATTATCAATAAACAATAGGCATTAAGCCTGCACCCACAAGAAATTTAAAATGTAATACATAAAAAACCTGAATATAGTTGTCACCATTATCTCCACCGTTAACACCAACTTTCCATGCAGTAAGAGCAACGTCTAATAACCAGCAGCCTAATAAAGCAGTGTATGTTGTCCTTACAAGTAAACGGTGAACCAATAACCAAGTAGGTGAACAATTATCAGCAACCCCCTTCGGTGAACGATTTCCAAATAACCCACAGTTGATTGGTTACCAAATATCCCACAGGTGAACAGTTCTTAGTGTCCAAAGTGTGAAGAATCCTTAACGCCCCACGGGAAGAATTTCTTAAAGCCCCACGGGTGAAGAGTGTCTTAAAGCCCCACGGGTGAACCCTTTAAAATACAAACAAAATGTTTCAATTCAAAATTGACCTAGATTTCCCAAATTATAACACTAATTACCCCAAATTGAATTTAAAACTAACAAGTAATGAGTCATGTTGAACCTGAATTACCCCATCAACGATACAGACAGGGCTGATCTTGCTCTACCCCTGAATATTTACAATATATAAAGAACTGAAGAAATAGCCATAAACTGTACTCAAACTCAAATAGTAAAAATTAAGTACACCCAGCACTTATTAAAAGATTAATAGCCAAATCCAATAAATATATAGTAGTAAAAACTGAATCATAAATCATACCTTTCACAAGGGTACAAAATGGCGTCTCTCCAAGCGAACACGAGCCAAAAAAACTGCCAAGTTGTTACTGTCCCCAAATCACACACAGGAATCCAGGATTGACTTTAGGGCCTAAATAAATTACTAGATAAAGACTCAAAATCTAATGGTGATAGATATACTTACAGTGAGAGCCGCATAAAAAAACCCGAAAACTCGGCGTGGCTCGGCTATTCCACAAAATGGTAATTTTTCACTAAATCCAATTCAGGAAAATACCCCACAAAGTCAAACCACGAGTTAACTGGCGAAAACCAATAAAAACCCCAAATAGTGAGAAGACTCGAAGTCTCAGAAAAAAAATTAGTATCCCCTTACGACTCTACACTGCCGAAAATTTACGTGTTCGCACTACACAGATTTTTCAAGAAAGAGGCCGTCCGATGCTGGTCAGTAAGAATCAGATGACTTTTTGCGTACGCAGTGT